GGGCTGTAGTATCCATTACGAACATCAAATACGAAATTTGAAATAATTCCGGTGAATAACATCACAAAAATCATGAAAATACCGAATATAGGGAGGTACCGTTATATGGGGGCTTTACAAAGACGTGGACTTGCACACACAATTTTCTGTCATGGGCTGTAGTATCCACTACGAACTTCAAATACGAAATTTGAAACAATTCCGGTGAAAAACCATCAAAATACCGAATATCGGGAGATACCGTTATATGGGGGTTATACGAAGACGTAAACCTGCACAGACAATTTTCTGTCACAAGCTGTAGTATCCATTACGAACTTCAAATACCAAATTTGAAACAATTCCGGTAAATAATGTCGCTAAAATCATCAAAATATCGAGGTACTGAAATATGAGGGCTATACGAAGATGTGGACCTGCACAGACAATTTTCTGTCATAGACTGTAGTACCCATAACGAACTTCAAGTACGAAATTTGAAACAGATCTGGCAAATAATGTCGATAAAATTAGCAAAATACCGAATATCGGGAGGTACCATTATATGGAGGCTATACGAAGATGTGGACCTGCGCAGACAATTTTCTGTCATAGGCTGCAGAATCAATTACGAACTTCAAATACCAAATTTGAAGTAAATACAGTGAATAATGTCGCTAAAATCATGAAAATACCGAATATCTGGAGGTACCATTATATGGGGACTATACGAAGGCGTGGACTTGCACAGACAATTTTCTGTCATAGACTTTAATATCCATTACGAACTTCAAATACCAAATTTGAAACTATTCCGGTAAATAATGTCGCTAAAATCACCAAAATACCGAATAATGGGAGGTACCGTTATATGGGGACTATACCAAAACGAGGACCTACACAGACAATTTTCTGTCATAGGCTGTAGTATCTATTACGAACTTCAAATACGAAATTTGAAACAATGCCGGTGAATAATGTCACTAAATCATCAAAATACCGGCTATCGGGAGGTAGCGTTATATTTGGGTCTATGGAAAGACGTGGACCTGCACAGACAATTTTCTGTCATTGGCTGTAGCATTCATTACAAACTTCAAATACCAAATTTTAAACAATTCCGGTGAATAATGTCGCTAAAATCATCAAAATACCGAATATCGGGAGGTACCATTATATGGGGGCTATACGAAGACGTATACCTACATGGCCCATTTTCTGTTTTGGGCTGTAATATCCATTACAAACTTCAAATGCCAAATTTGAAACAGATCTGGTAAATAATGTCGCTAAAATCATTAAAATACCGAATAAAGGGAGGTACCAATTCATGGAGGCTATACAAAGACGTAGACTTACAAAGACAATCTTCTGTCATGGGCTGTAATATACATTACGAACTTCAAATACGAAATTTGAAACAATTCGGGTGAATAATGTCGCTTAAATCACCAAAATACCAAAAATAGGGAGGTACGGTTATGTGGGGGCCTACATGGCCCATTTTCAATATCAAAAATCCTGCAGACATAATATACATTTGAGTAATTAAAATTTTGCCCAAATATTTGTTAAAATATTACTTTGCTGTCATCACTTTTCCTATATCCCAAAAGCAACTTTTTGATACACCCCTCGTACTTTAAGCACTGTGCAAAGGCTCCATGCGCTTGCGCACAATGTCACACATTTTTTTATCAAATAACTTTCATTGAATTACCGTTAAGTGGCACAGATATTTAAATAAAGCACTCTTTCTTTATTTTTTTGAAGAGGCATAAAACAAAAAAGCAACAAAAAATTTAAAGAGTCTAAGAATGACTAACCCCGCTCTTCGACCGCTTGAGGGCGTATACGGCACGCGACAAATTTCAAAACAAAAATTTCCATATAAAGTAGCCGCAAGAAAGTTGAGTTGTTTATTCGATGAATGAATCAGAAAAGAAATATTCTAAAAAAAGAAATTCTTTGATTTTTTGTTGTTGTTGCTGTTGTGTGTCTGGTATTCAAATGGGCGTGTGTGATATGCAAATTTGTTTCTATTGTTTTTTGGTTATTGGCATTTAGTTTTTGAATAAATTTTTTTTTTTTGTTTTTCAAAAACGATTTTTTTTTATTCACTTTCATTTTCACTGCTTTCAAGACAGGCAGCCATGGATATGACGGTTTAGAAAAAAAAAGTAGGAAATAAACTCAAATTAGATTTTTTTTTTGTAAAATAATTTTCAAATCTTCAAAAAACAAATGTTTTTTTTTTTCTGCCAGAGTTTTTCAAACCAAACATAGAAGTTTTCTAATTTTCGATTAAAAAAAAAAACTAGGCAATGAAAATAATTTAGATTTTTTTTTAAATTTTTGAAATCTTCAAACAAAAAATATTTTTTCTCTCCCAATATTCTTCAATCTTTAATATTTCTCTAATTTTCAATATTTCTATAATCTTCAAGATTTCTGTAATCTTCAAAATTTCTGTAATCTTCAATATTTTTTTATACCCTCCACCATAGGATGGTGGGTATATTAAGTTTGTCATTCCATTTGTAACACCTCGAAATATTCATTATATACCTTACAAAGTATATATATTCTGGATCAGCGTAAAATTCTAAGACGATTTAGCCATGTCCGTCTGTCTGTTCGTCTGTCGGCCTATCCGTCTCTCTCTCTCTCTCTCTGTGGAAATCACTCTAGCTTCCGAAAGAATTGAAGTAGATTGATAAAATTTTTCTCAAATGTGTATTATGTCTGCAGGACTTTTGGTATTGAAAATGGGTCATATAGGTCCACGTTTTGGTATAGCCCCCATATAACGATACCTCCCGATATTCGTTATTTTGAGGATTTTAGCGACATTATTTACCGGAATTGTTTCAAATTTCGTATTTGAAGTTCGTAATGGGTACTACAGTCTAAGACAGAAAATTTTCTGTACAAGTCCACGTCTTCGTATAGCCCCCATATAACGTACCTCCCGATATTCGGTATTTTGATGATTTTAGCGACAATATTCATCGGAATGGTTTCACATTTGGTATTTGAAGTTCGTAATGTATGCTACAGCCTATAACAAAAAATTGTGAATGCAGATCCAAGTCTTCGCATAGCCCCCATATAACGATACCCCCCAATATTCTGTATTTTAAGGATTTTAGCGACATTATTCACCGGAATTGTTTCAAATTTGGTATTTGAAGTTCGTAATGGGTACTACAGGCTATGACAAAAAATTTCGTATGCAGGTCCACGTATTCATATAGCCCCCATATAACGGTGCCTCCCGATATTCGGTATTTTGGTGATTTCAGCAACATTATTCGGGGGAATAGTTTCAAATTTCGTACTGGAACATCCTAGTGGGTACTACAACCTATGGCAAAAAATTTCGTATGCAGGTCCACGTCTTCGTATAGCCCCCATATAATGGCACCCCCCCTTATTCGGTATTTTCATGATTTTAGCGACATTATTCATCGGAATTCTTTCAAATTTGGTATTCGAAATGCTTAATGTGTACTACAGCCTATGACAGAAAATTGTCTGTACAGGTCCACGTCTTCGTATAGCCCCCATGTAACGGTACCTCCCGATATTCGGTATTTTGAGGATTTTACCCACATTATTTACCGGAATTGTTTCAAATTTGGTATTTGAAGTTCGTAATGGGTACTACAGCCCATGACAAAAAATGTCATATGCAGGTCCACGTCTTCGTATAGCCCCCATGTAACGTTACCCCCGATATTCGGTATTTTGAGGATTTTAGCGACATTATTCACCGGAAATGTTTCAAATTTGGTATTTGAAGTTCGCAATGGATACTACAAACTATGGCAAAAAATTTCATATGCAGGTCCACGTCTTCGTATAGCCCCCTTATAACAGTACCCCCTGATAGTCGGTATTTTAAGGATTTTAGCCACATTATTCACCGGAATTGTTTCAAATTTGGTATTTGAAGTTCGAAATGGATACTACAGCCTACGACAGAAAATTTTTTGTGAAGGTCCACGTCTTCATATAGGCCCCATATAACAGTACCTCCCGATTTTCGGTATTTTGATGATTTTAGCGACATGATTCATCAGAATTGTTTCATATTCGGCATTTGAAGTTCAAAATGGATACTACAGTCTGAGACAGAAAATTGTCTGTACAGGTCCACGTCTTCGTATAGCCTCCATATAACGATACCCCCCATTATTCGGTATTTTAATGATTTCAGCAACTTTATTCGGCGGAATAGTTTCAAATTTCGTACTGGAAGATCCTAGTGGGTACTACAACCTATGGCAAAAAATTTCGTATGCATGTCCTCGTCTTCGTATAGCCCCCATATAACGGTACCTCCCGATATTCGGTATTTTGAGGATTTTAGCGACAATATTCACCGGATTTGTTTCAAATTTCGTATTTGAAGTTCGAATGGATACCACAGCCTATGACAAAAATTTATATATGCAGGTTGAAGTTTTCGTATAGCCCCCATATGACTGTTTTCATTTAGGTGGTAGTTTCGGATTTTTTTTTTTTTTTTTTGTTTTGTTTTTGAAATTCTTCAAGTTCCTTCGGCCCTGCCGAACTTATCTGTTTTTTTACTTGTTTATATTAATTTTGTTGTTGTTGTTATTTTTCTTGATCATTCCATTAAGAAATCATCCCACAATAATTATCACCATTTTCTTGTGTTATTGTTAGGCAAGACCTCTAAAAACTCTTTTTTTTTTTGTTGTTGCTGGCCATTTAATGTAACATTGCCAGCAGCTGGTATTACGTTTATGGCCTTTCATTGTCTGAGCCAGGTTGATTTTTTTTTGTCATCTCTAATTTTTTTAATTCCAAACCCATAGACTTTTGCACATGCGCTCTTTCACGTCGCTCTTCCAATCCCAAAATGACTTGTTTCTTTTGGCTTTTTTATTCATCGTTTATTTTTTTTTCTTTTCTTTCGCCTTCTTTGTTTGGTTGGACACCTTTCTTTTCTTTCACTGGCTTTAACATTTCATTCTGCTTTTCACACTTACTTAATAATTCGAACTTCAACTGTTGTAATAATTTCCCAAACGTCGATGATTATGTTATTCGAAAATCACTCAATTCGGGCTTTTTTATTATTTCAAAATTTCTGTTAAAATATTTTTTGTTTTCTTGTGAATTTCAATTTCAAATTTTTTCTTTTGGTACAAATAAATTTCTTTCGTATTTTTGTGGCTATTTTTTCTTTGCTTCACTTTCTTTTTTCACGTATCTTTCTTTTGCCGTCAAAGGCCTGTATTCAATGCCTGAGTGGGGGGAACAATTTGTTTGCGTTTTGTTTCAGCGTTTAAACGTCTTTCCTGTGCGACTTCCCTCGGTTAACTGATTCCATTGGGCTGAACTTCTTTAAGCCATGGTCATTTGGTGGTAAACTCTAATAAGCCAAAGAGGCCGGTAATTTTCTCTCATTTCTCTTCGTTACAAGATCTCTCTTTAAAGAAAATATAGATGTTTATACTGAGCATGCGCAACATAGATATTGGGATGGAACGTATCATAGGATGGCATTACAAAAAAAAATTGAAATATAAAAAAATAATAATACACGATTAAAAAACTCACAGATATTGAAAATTCAGTTCTCCGATTTTTGAAAAAAAAAATATTAAAAAAATAAAATAAAATATTAAAAAAATACTTTTTAAAGACTAACAAATATTGAATTTCCTTTGCTCCGATTATTGAAAAACAATATTTTTTTAGAAATAATTTTAATAATTAAAAAAAAATCCATGATTATCGAAAAAATATTCTATCAATATTTACAAAAAAAAAAACAAAATTCCATGAATATTTGTGAAAAAAAATTACGATTATTTAAAAAAAATTTAAACCTTTTAAAAAATCGTATATTTCAATATTTTGAATAATTTAATCGAAAAAAAATATTCTATGAATATTTACAAAAAAATCAAGATTATTGAAAAAATATTTGTAAACCTTCTATTATATTGAAAAAAAAAAAAAAATAAAATAATCCACGATTATTTAAAAAATATTTTTAAAAGAAAGAAAGAAAAAATATTTTTAAACAAACAAATTTTTTAAAAAAATATTTTTTTAATATTTTTAGCTATTTTTAAGTATTATTTTAAAAACATTTTTTTATTTTTTTTTTTAAATATTTTTAAACAAATATTTAAAAAATATATTTTTTAAAGGCTAATAAATATAGTATATCAATTTCTCCGATTATTAAAAAAATATTTATTTAAAATAATTTAAAAAATTCACGATTATCAAAAATAAATATTCTATGAAAATTTACAAAAAATCCACGATTTTCGAAAAAAAATATTCAATGGATATTGCGGAAAAATCCTCGATTATCGAAAATAATATTCTATCAATATTTACGAAAAAATCACGATTATTGAAAAAAATAATTTTAAACCTTTTAAAAAATCTTATATTTCAATATTTGAAATGATTTTGAAAAATCCACTTTAATCGAAAAAATGTTAATGTTAATGTTAAAATATTCATATTTACAAAAAAATATCACTAAGATTGAAAAAATATTTGTAAGCCTTATATTGAAAACAGAAAAAAAAAATAAAATAATCCACGTTTATTTAAAAAATATTTTTAAAAGACTTAAAAATAATGAATATTCAATTCTTCGATTTTTGGAAATTATTAAAAAAATATATTTTTAAACAAATTTTTAAAAAAATATTTTTTTTAATATTTTTAACTTTTTTTAAAAACATTTTTTTTGAATATTTTAAAAAATATTTTTAAACAAATATTTAAAAATATATATTCTTTAAAGCCTAACAAATATTGAAAATCCATTTCTCCGATTATTAAAAAACTATTTACTTAAAATAATTCAAAAACTCACTTTAATCGAAAAAAAAGTTTTATAAATATTTAGAAAAAAAAAATCACGAAAATTGAAAAAATATTTGTAAACCTTATATTGGAAACAGAAAAAAAAATAAAATAATCCACGTTTGTTTAACAAATATTTTTAAAAGACTTAAAAATAATGAATGTCCAATTCTCCGATTTTTTTATTAAAAAAAATATTTTGTAACAAACAAAATTTTTAAAAAAATATTTTTTTCATATTTTTACTTTTTTTAAATATTTTTTAAAAGCATTTTTTCCATATTTTTTAAAAAATATTTTTAAACAAATATAACAAATATTTCAAAAAAATATTAAAAAATACATATTTTGTAAAGACTAACAAATATTGAATATACATTTCTCCGATTATTAAAAAACTATTTACTTAAAAAAATTAGAAAAAAAATCAAAAACTCACTTTAATCAAAAAAAAAAAAAAAAAAACATTTTATGAACATTTACACAAAAAAAAAAAAAAAATCACGAAGATTGAAAAAATATTTGTAAACCTTATATTGAAAACAAAAAAAAATAAAATAATCCACGTTTATTTAAAAAATATTTTTAAAAGACTTAAAAATGATGAATATCCACTTATCCGATTTTTGGAAAAATTTTAATTTTTTTTTTTTTAAAAAAATATTTTTAACAAATTTTTAAAACAAATATTTTTTCAATATTTTAAACTTTTTTTTAAATATTTTTTTAAAAACATTTTTTTCAATTTTTTTTTAAAAAAATATTTTTAAACAAATGTATAAAAAATATATTTAAAAAATAGATATTTTTTAAAGACTAACAAATATTGAATATCCATTTCTCCGATTATTAAAAAATATTTTTTTTTTTAAATAATTTAAAAATATTCACGGTTATGAAAAAAATATTTTATGAAAAATATTTTTTTAAATTTTTTTCAATATTTTTAAACAAATATTTAAAAAAATATATATTTTTTAAAGACTAACAAATATTGGATATCCATTTCTCCGATTATTGAAAAAATATTTATTTAAAATAATTTTAAAAAATTCACGATTATCAAAAAAATCCACGATTTTCGAAAATAAAATATTCAATGAATATTTACGAAAAAATCCACAATTTTTGAAAAAAAAAATAATTTTAAACATTTTAAAAATTGTATTATATAGAAAAATATTAAAAAAAAATTTGGAGGAAACTATTTAAAACTATAAACTAATTACTTAAAATATATATGAAGAATTCGGGATTATAGAAAAAATAGTTTCAAAATAAAAACCCATTATTAAAAGAATATTTCTAAAAATTCATTAATTCGAAATATTTTATGAAATCCATTAAATCATTAGAAACGTGAAAGAAATATTCTTAAAAACTAAATTGGTACTGCGTTTAAAAAAAGTGTTTTTTAAGTCACGTTTTAAAAAAAAATATTTTTAAAATCCAAGTTGTTATATTTTTTTATTATTAAAAATTAAAAAACCACGTTTTTTAGAAAGTTTTTTTTATAAATCCATGTTTGTTGGAAAATTTTAAAAGAATTTGTTTTAAAATTGGTGTTTTTTTATAAGTTCTCTAAAAAATATTTTTATAAAACTCCACAATCTTTGGAAAGTGTTCAAAATATATTAAGAAATCCATTGAATCATTGGAAACTTGAAAGAAATATTCTTAGAAATAAAATTGTTGTTGCCTTACAAAAAAATTCACAACAATTTAAGATGATTCCTGCGGCTTTAATGCTAGATTCATTGCTCCTTCCTTAATAACAGTGAATAATGAAAATTATTTTTAAAAATTTTTAAACTCAAAAATCCAATTTTTCTGCTTATTTCTTCTTCTTGTAAAAAATGTCAATTCATTGAAAACATTAATCTTTCTTTTTCCCCCCAAATTTCGATGACTAAAAGCCAAACTAAAAATAAATATCTGAAAACACACATCACTTAACTTCATTTCACTTTCGATTTCCTTAGAAACCCAATACTCAATCTCGTTGAAAAGAAAAAAAAAAACAAAAAAAATAAAGAACTGAGTATTACAACATACACACATCAAGTATCGGATGTGGTTATCTTTGTTTCGATAATCAAACACTACTCTCTTTTCTTAAAAAAAAATCAATAACAGAAAGAAAACCAATTTCTAATAACAAAAAATTGCAAGTCACACAATTGTAAGAAATAAAAGAACTCATTCAATTGCCATGAATTGTTGCGGTTGCGCAGAAGTCACCCCGAGCACCTGTTGCTTGGCATTACACATTGTGGCGCGGGAAAGGCAAAACTGATGAAATTTCCGACACCAAACTTAACGGAAAGGCTGATAAACGTGTCTAAGCTCACGTAAGCCAGGCTCTGGAGAAGTGGGAATTTGAAAAATTTGGCCATCCGGTAATCAAATAATTGCTAAAAGAAAAGAAAGAAAATATGAAATGTAATTTAAGAGAGGGGGGAGGTGTGAGCATATGTCTCTTATTCTCTATTATAATTAAGACATCAGTAAATAGACGTATAGAATAATTATCAATAATTATATTTATAAATTAATTTTTGGGGATTTTTGTTTAAAAATACAAAAATAAATAAAAAAAAACCGGCACAGGTAAGTTATTTTGCAATTCTCTTAGGAATTTCTCTTTAATTATTTGCCCATCTATGAGGATGAGCGATGAACAGCACATGGTTTCTCATTTAAACTCTCTTTTTAACTTTCTCTTTTTTTCCAATTTAACGGGTTCATGTTTTGAAAGAGTCATAGAAAATAGCCCATCTCTTTTTTGAAACGAGATCTCATTCATATGCTCTTCTCTCTTTCTCTTTGTCTAATTCAAAGTTCTGCCCTATTGCTAACGACAACATAAAAACAATCAAAACAATGAGTTTCACTTCCACTATCACTGTCAGAGTGTGACATATTTGGAGCAATATTTTACGCTTTGGCAAGGGGCACTTTAATTTTCAATGATGGAAACAATTTTTTTTTTGTTTATAGACAGTGGAAATCTAAATGTTTTTGAAAATTATGTTATTAAAAAAATGAAATTATTAGAAAATTAAAAAAAAATATTTTTAAAACATCCGCCGTTGCTTGGATTTATGAAAAATATTTTTAAAAATTCCTCGAATATTGGGATTAATGAAAAAATATTTTTAAAAAATCCTCGATTGCTGGAATTTATGAAAAAAAAAATATTTTTAAAAAATTCTCGATTGTTGGAGTTAATGAGAAATTTTTTTTTTAAAAAATTCTCGATTGTTGGAATTAATGAAAAAATGTTTTTTTTTAAAAATCCGCCTTTATTGGGGTTAATGAAAATGTATTTAAAAAAGATCCAAGTTTTTAAGGATTTATGAAAAAAAAATATTTTAAAAAATCCACATTTCTTGGTATTTATGAAAAAAAATATTTTTAAAAAATCCACATTTATTGGTATTTATGAAAAATTTTTTTTTAAACTTTCACGTTTGTTGGAAATTATGAAAAAAAATATTTAAAAAAAATCCACGTTTATTGGGATTTATGAAAAAAATATTTAAAAAAAATCCACGTTTATTGGGATTTATGAAAAAAATATTGAAAAAAAATCCACGTTTATTGGGATTTATGAAAAAATGTTTTTAAAACTTTCACGTTTGTTGGGATTTATGAAAAGATGTTTTATAAAGTCCACATTTGTTGAGATTTATAATATTTTTATAAATATATTTAAAATAATATTTTAAAAAATCCACGTTTTTTGGGATTTATAAAAAACTATTTTTTTTTAAATCAACTTGTTGGGATATATAAAAAAATATTTTTAAAAATCCACTTTTTTTGGGAATTATGAAAAAAATATTTTTAAACATCCAAGTTTTTTAGGGATTTATAAACAAAAAATATTTTTAAAAATCCACGTTTATTGGGATTTATGAAAAATATTTTTAAAAAATCCAGGTCTGTTGGTTAAAAAAAACATATTTTTGAGATTTATAAAAAAAATATTTTTAAAAAAATCAACGTTTGTTGGGATTTTTGAAACATATTTAAAAAAAAATCCTCCATTGTTGGGATTTATGAAAAGATATTTAAAAAAATCCACGTCTGTAGAGATTTATAAAAATAATATTTTAAAATAATCTACGTTTGTTTATATTAAAAATATTTTTAAAAAATCCACGAATTTTGGGATTAATAAAAAATATTTTTAAAAAAGCCATGTTTGTTGGGATTTATTTATGAAAAAATATTTTTAAACAATTCACATTTATTAAAAGTGGTTAAAAAATATTTTTAAAAAAATCCACTTTTAGTGGAAGTGGTTAAAAATATTTTTAAAAAAATCCACGTTTGTTGGGATTTACAAAAAATAATTTTACAAAAATCCACGTTTATTGGAAGTGGCTAAAAATATTTTAAAAAAATCCACGATTATTGGAAGTGGTTAAAAAATATTTTTAAAAAATCCACGTTTATTGAAAGTGGTTAAAAAATATTGTTAAAAAATCCCCGTTTATTGGGAGTGGTTAAAAAGTATTTTTAAAAAATCCCCGTTTATTGGGAGCGGTTAAAAACATTTTTAAAAAATTCACGTTTTTTGGAAGTGGTTAAAAAATTTTTTTAAAAAATCCACGTTTGTTGGATGTGGTTAAAAAATATCTTTAAAAAATCCACGTTTATTGGAAGTGGTTAAAAATATTTTTAAAAAATCCATGTTTATTGGAAGTGGTTAAAAATTATTTTTAAAACAACCATTTTTTTGGTTAAGTGGTTAAAAAAAAATTAAAAAATTCACATTCATTGGAAGTGGTAAAAAAATATTTTTAAAAAATCTACGTTTATGGGAAGTGGTTAAAAATTTTTTTTGAATACTCCACGTTTATTGGAAGTGGTTAAGAAATATTTTTTAAAATCCACGTTTATTGGAAGTGGTTAACAAATATTTTTTTAAAAAATTCACGTTTAAAGGGAATGGTTAAAAAATATTTTTTAAAAAATCCATGTTTATTGGAAGTGGTTAGAAAATATTTTTAAAAAAAATCCACGTTTAAAGGGAATGGTTAAAAAATATTTTTAAAAAATCCATGTTTATTGGAAGTGGTTAAAAAATATTTTTAAAAATTCCACGTTTATTGGAAGTGGTTAAAAAATATTTTTAAAAAATCCAAGTTTAGTGGAAGTGGTTAAAAAATATTTTTAAAAAATCCAGTGGTTAAAAAATATTTTTCAAAAACCCACATTTATTGGAAGTGGTTAAAAATTTTTTTTAAAAATCCGCGTTTATTGGAAGTGGTTAAAAAATATTTTTAAAAAATCCACGTTTGTTGGGATTTATAAAAAAATATTTTTAAAAAATCCACGTTTGTTGGGATTTATAAAAAAATATTTTTAAAAAATCCACGTTTGTTGGGATTTATAAAAAAATATTTTCAAAAAATCCACGTTTGTTGGGATTTATAACAAAATATTTCTTAACAAATCCACGTTTGTTGGGATTTATAACAAAAAACTTTTAAAAATATCCACGTTTTTTTTGGGATTTGGCACGAATTATGGCCTTAAAACGGCCAATAAAACCATCACACGCTGCCCGAATGTTGCTCTGCGGTATTTTGGCCCATTCTCGGCGAAGCGCTTGCTTGAGGTGAACGACATTTTGGTATTTTTTAGTGCCAACCTTGCTTTCCAAAATACTCCGGCCAACGGATTGGTATACGGAGATTTTGGTGGCCATTGTGCGCTGGAAATAAAGCGAGTCGAACCTTATTTCGTAAACATTCTTGGGTGGCTGAGTGCTGAAGTTGGTTGCAATTTTTTCATCTCAACCTGTATTGTGTAACCACTTCCAATAAACGTTGATTTTTTTAATATTTTTATTTTAAATTTTTATTTATTTTTTATTTTTAAATTTTTATTTTTTTTTTGTTACCTTTATTTTTTTTTTTGTTATTTTTAAATTTTTATTTTTAAAACTTTATTTTTTTTTTATTTAATTTTTTTTTTATTTTTAAATATTTATTTTATTTTTAAATTTTTATTTTTTTTTTATTTTTTAAATTTATTTAATATTTTATTGTTAATATATATTACCTTCAATTTATTGTTAACATATATTTATTTATATTATAACTTATAAATATTATTCATATATTTTTTTAATCTACGCCCATTGCTTCCAAATCATATCGGCCGCCTTTTCTCCAATCATAATAGTGGGGGCATTGGTATTATGTGACGTCACACGGGGCATAATGGAGGCATCGGCCACACGTAAATTGCGAACCCCCTTTACCCTCAATTCAGGATCCACACATGTGATATTGTCTTCCTTGGCCCCCATTTTGATGGTACCTGCAAAATGATAGCCGGTACTGGAAAAGTATTCCATAAAACAATACCAATATTCCAGGGATTTGAACTGATATCCATCACACTCGGGCAGGGGAATGCGGAGTAATTCGATTTGCCTTTCCCTAAAGCTGGATGTTTCCAGCAAATTGAGGGCATATTCTATGCCGGACATTAAAATTAGCTTATCCTCTGTCTGGGTCAAATAACCGGCATCTATGATGGGAGGATCTTTGGAGGAAGAGGTTTTTAATTTTATACTACCCCTAGATTTGGGTTGGGCCAAGAGAATATACAGCACAAAAATGTCATGCTGTTCCAATTGTTGCCTTAGAAAGTCCTTCAGTTCATCCTTTAGGCCTGAGACCTGGGCCGAAAGTTCCAGTTGCTGGAAGCTACCCTTTTTCATGGCCACCAAATAGGAATGCATGTTTTTGGAGGTCGTTGTTGTATTTTTATCGGTTTTTAAGTACGCCGTCAGCTGGCCGGTGGCAAAGGAAGCCAAGGGTCCCGTGCCATGCATGAGGTATTCATAAATGCCATCCAAGTCATTTGATCCTGAAGATGAGGGAGAGGGCGGCATTTTGAAATACAAATTAAGCACCACATGGTCCTGTAAATTTCTGCCCACCGGTAAATTGTGGCGCAGGGGAATATTAAGTCGTCGCAGATGGCTAAAAGGTCCAATACCTGATAACATCAAAAGTTTGGGTGATTCCAAGGCCCCTGCCGAAAGTATGGCCTCTTTGTTAACCTGGACCTTCATTGTTCTCTTTTCCCTGACCACAAACTCCACGGAGAGTAGTTTTTCATGCTCCTTATCAAACTGCAGTTTGGTAACCCTGGCATTTTTAATAACCTTAAGATTTGGCCTTTGGCGTACTTTGCCCAAATAACTTTTCCCCGTACTCCATCTATGGCCATTGGCAAATGTAACATTGGCAAAGTTGTAGTGCAAATAATTCTCATCGCCAAACTGAGTTAGGCGATTTTGTTTCAGCTCATCCCAGGCGGAAGTTACCAGCTCAACAAATTCCATATCTGTGGCATTGGCGGGATTTAAGACAACATATCCGAGGGGATGACTGGAATTGCCCTGGGGCGTCTTGGCCTTGGTATAGAATTGCCTCAGCTCATCATAACACCAACCCTTGCTGCCCTGGGAACACCAAAGGTCATGGTTTTCGGGAGTTCCCTCAACATAAACCATGCCATTTATGGAGCCGGTACCGCCCAAGCAATTGCCACGACTCCAGCGACATTGATTGTTCTTAAAGGCTTTGCAGGACACATTGTTGGCCTCTACCGTATAATGGTAGGCAGCCTTGGAATTTAACAGCTCACTCGAAAATATGGGAAGCTACAAAAAAGTTGGTAATTAAATAATTTTCTAAGCAAACTCCATTGCAAACTTACCTCGGATTCTTGAGGAGGATCATCTCCAGCCTCCAACAGCAAAACGCTCCAATTGGAATTCTCACTTAAACGACTTGCCACCGCCGAGCCTGCAGATCCCCCGCCAATAACCACAAAATCATAACCAGCTAGTCCATGATTCAAGGCCTGCTCCGCATAATCCTCAGGCCATAATGTTCGATTGGAAATATTGCATTGGGCTGATAAAATTCCCTCTACCAGCAAAGAAACCAAGGTGTTAACTGCTCCCACACTTGACCCGGAACAATGATGGCCAGCGCATGCCGATGTTCCCGATGCAAACAACATTTTCCAACTGCAATGGGCAAGGTTGTTTTGTTTTTATGTCATTTTTGTGAATATCCATTGTCAGCAAAAAATAATAAAACAACGAAAATAAATAAAAAAAAAACATTTTGTTGTTTTTTTTTTTTTTTTTTTTTTTTTTTTTGGCAAACAGACTGGTTTTTTATATTTCGAGCAATATTTTTGGGATTTACTTTACACTTGAGGAGAAATGTCTGTTTAATTTTTAATGAAAAATATCAAATTTAATTTGGCCTGTGTCTGGTTTTCCAATAACTAAGCCAACACAGCTGATGGCATCAAAAAGGAGACAACGAAGAGAGCACTCAATAATGATGGAGCATAAACTTGACATTGATAAACAAAGAACGAACACACATTAGCACAACATGTTTTGCGTATAGGCCACTCTCCCAACGTTAGAGAGAACTGGTGGAAAGAGATGATTGAAGTAGAGCTTAGGAAATGCAACAAAAACATAAACAGAACAATGCATTTCAAAGAAGATAATGACAAAATCAGTTGTTCTTAGGAAGTTGCAATAATAAAAAACATACTGTGATCAGTGTTGCCATTTTTAGCTGATTTATTGGCATTTTGACGATTTTTCATTCTAACAATGGAAAGTGCCGTTTTTGCCTCAAAAGTGAAGAAAAATTAACGATCGCAACAAATTGTCTCACATTTTTGTTTAAAGCGCCATTAGTCCAAAGTTGGAAAATAGACCCAAACAGCAGATCTGTGGATTTTTATACCCTCCACAATACATAGTATGGAGGGTATTTTAAGTCATACCAGTTGTAACCGATTTATTGGCATTTTGACGATTTTTCATTCTAAATAATGGGAAATGTCGATTTTTGCCTCAAAAATCACGAGATATTAACGATCGCAACAAATTGTCTCACATTTTTGTTTAAAGCGGCATTGATCCAAAGCCATTTTTGTCATCTAAACGAAACAAATATTGACCCAAACATAAGAGCTGTGGATTTTTATACCCTCCCCCATACATAGTATGGAGGGGATATTAAGTTAGACATTCCGTTTTTTAACTCATCGAAATAATAATATTAGACCCAACAAAGTACATATATTTTGGATTAGCTTAAAATTCGAAGACGATTTAGCCCTGTCCATCTGTCCCACCTGTCTGTTGTAATCACGCTAGAGTCAAAACGAATAAAGATAGGAAACTAACATTTTGCACCGATTTGTCTTTTGTCTGCATGCAGGTCATATTCGAAGATGGGCTATATTGGTTCACGATATCGTATAGCCCCCATATAACGATACTCCCGATATTCGGTATTTTGACGATTTTAACCAATTTTTTCAATGGAAATGTCTGAAATTCTACACAAGGAGTTCTTTGTGACTACTTTATCCCCTGAAAAAGAATTGCCTATATAGGTCCACGATATCGTATATCTCTCATATAACTGTATCTTCCGATTTTCGGTATTTTGATAATTTTAACCACATTTTTCAATAGAATTGTCTGAAATTCTACACAAGGAGTTATCTGTATGTACTTTACCCCATGGAAGAGAATTGTCTATATAGGTCCACGATATCGTATAGCCCTCATATAACTGTACCTCACGATATTCGGTATTTTGATTATTTTAACCACATTTTTCAATGGAATTGTCTGAAAATCTACACAAGGAGTTCTTCGTGACTACTTTATCCCTTGAAAAAGAATTGTCTATATAGGTCTACGGTTTAGCATAGCACCCATATACCGGCACCTCCCGATATTCGGCATTTTGATGATTTTAGCGACATTATTCACCGGAATTGTTTCAAATTTGGTATTTGAAGTTCGTAATGGGTAGTACAGTCTACGACACAAAATTGTCTGTGTAGGTCAACGTCTTCCCGTAGCTCCAATATAACCGCACCTCCCGATATTCGGTTTTTTGATGATTTTAGCGACATTATTCACCGGAATTATTTCAAATTTGGTATTTGGAGTCCGTAATGGATACTACAGACTATGACAAAAAAATTGTCTGTGCAGGTCCAGGTCTTCGTATAGCCCCCATATAACGGCACCTCCCGATATTCGGTATTTTGATGATTTTAGCAACATTATTCACTAGAATTGTTTCAAATTTCGTATTTAGAATTCGTAATGGGTAGTACAACCTATGACTAAAAATTGCGTATGGAGGCCCACATCTTCGTATAGCTCCCAAATAACGGTACCTCCCTTTATTCGGTATTTTGATGATTTTAGCGACATTATTCACCGGAATAGCGTCAAATTTCGTATTTGAAGTTCGTAATTGATGCTACAGCCTAAGACAGAAAATTGTCTGTGTAGGTCAACGTCTTCCTGTTGGCTAAATATAACCGCACCTCACGATATTCGGTTTTTTTTATGATTTTAGCGACATTCATTCACCGGAATTGTTTCGAATTTGGTATTTGAAGTTCGTAATGGGTACTACAACCTATAACAAAAAATCGCGTCTGCAGGTAATTGTCTTCGTATAGCCCCCATATAGCTGTACCTCCCGATATTCGGTATTTTGATGATTTTAGCGACACCATTCACCGGAATTGTTTCAAATTTGGTATTTGAAGTTCGTAATGGATAGTACAACCTATGACGGAAAATTGTCTTTGTAGGTCCACGTCTTAGTATAGCCTCCATATAACGATACCTCCCTTTATTCGGTATTTCCAGGATTTTCGCGACATTATTCACCGGAATTGTTTCAAATTTGGTATTTGAAGTTCGTAATGGATACTACAGCCTAAGACAGAAAATTGTCTGTGTAGGTCCTCGTCTTCCTATAGCCCCCATACAATACGATATTCGATATTTTGACTATTTTAGCGGTATTATTCACCAGAATTGTTTCAAATTCCGTATTTGAAGTTCGTAATAGGTACTACAGCCTGTGACAGAAAATTGTCTGTGCAGGTCCTTGTCTTCGTATAGGCCCCATGTAACGTTACCTCCCGATATTCGGTATTTTGATGATTTTATCGATAGTAATCACCAGAATTGTTTCAAATTTCGTAAATAAAGTTCGTAATGGGTACTACAGCCTATGACACAAAAGTACCAAAAACACCACATCTTCGTATAGCCCCCCTATAAGGGTTATCATTTTCTACGGATTTTTTTTTTTTTTTTTTTTTTTTGACATTTTTCAATTTCTTTCCGAATGATGGATGGTATAAAAAGTTCGACGTGGCCTGGAACTTTGCTTCTTTTTTAACTTGTTTTTAATTTTTTTTTAAACACCCTATGATTTGTGAAATGTTTTTAATATTTTTTCACACACCCCTCGAATTTGTTTTTTTTTTAATATTTCACTCAAAATTATTTTAATTTTCCCCCTCTTCCAGGTGGCTGTTGTGGTTCAACGAAAAAACGCACCATTGTCGGTGGCTGGGCCTGGGCTTGGTGGCTGGTGACAGATGTCCAAAGGCTCTCGCTAAATGTCATGACCCTAAATCCAATGTGTGAAAGTGTGGAGACATCACAGGGTGTCCCTTTGACCGTGACCGGTGTGGCCCAATGTAAAATCATGAAGGTGAGTAATAATCAAAAATTCAACTTTTTTTTCTAATTATTTCTAATTATGTGTATTAACAACTAATTATATCAACAAATTAATCTTATTCTATTTACTATGAGAAAATTAAAATAAAAATCTACACTTTTTTTATTCAAAAATAACCAAAAATCTGTTGTACAACTTTGCATGCTGGCTTTCTTGATTTTTATGGAATATTACAAAACAATTTCGTTCAAAATTATTTCAAATTCGTACTTCTTTTTTATCTCTACTTTTTTCTTGTAATCAAAACAAAAAAACAATTGTTTTAAACAAAATAATTGAAGATATTTTTTTACCTTTCATTTGTTAATTTTTTTTGTTCAATTTTTTATTGTTACCATTTATAGTTCTCAACACCAAGAGAATTTAATAAGAAAAATGTAAGTCTCTGCAAAAAAGTCAAATTTTGTGTTGTTGTCAACTAGAATTGTCCAATATTGAAAATTCACTTTCCAAACACTGTTATAATTTTTGTTTTGAAATTGCAAATCGACAAAATCTGTTTTTTTTTTTAATTTTTTTAGAATTTCTTTCTTTTTTATATTGTCTATCACTTTTCTCACTTTGAGCCTCAAAGTATGCTTTACTTTTTTGTGCCCTCGCTCTTTTTGACATTATCTTAACATAATCAAGAAATTTCTCCGCAGACGCGCGAAAGACGTGTCGAAAGACACACTTCGGGCCTTATTGCAACTCATCTCCGCATTCGTAAAGACTCCCTTTAGATTGTCTGTAGAGACTCCCCTTATTTCGCCTGTAAAGACGCCGATAGTGTCATCTGCAGTAATTCTCTCTATATCGTCTTTTTTTTTAATTTCATTTTTTTAATTTTTTTAGATTTTCTGGCCAATTTCAGTCCTTCAGGTCGCCTAAAGAAAAGCGTTTTAAGTCGTCTCTGCGAAGTTTCCTACGTAATCTCAAGAAATGCCCTTCAGATCGCCTAAAGAGCCACACTCCAGGTTCCTATTGCAAATCGTATTCTCATTCGTAAAGACTCCATTTAGGTCGTCTGTAGAGGCTCCCTTCAGTTCGCCTGTGTCATCTGCAGTGACTATCTTTAGATCGTCTGTTTTTATTTTGAAATTTAGTTTTTTATTGTTTTTAGATTTTCCGCTCATCTATGCGACTCCATTTTCAGTCCTTAAGGTAGCCTAAAGAGACACCTTTCAAGTCGTCTCAGCGAAGTTTCCTAGGTAATCTCAAGAAATGCCCTTCCGATCGCCTAAAGAGCCACACTCCAGGTTCCTATTTCAACTCGTCTTGTCATTCATATATACTCCGTTAAGGTCATCTCTCAAGAGGCTCCCTTCAGTTCGTCTGTTAAGACTCCGTTAGTGTCATCTGCAGCGACTCTCTTTATGAGGTCTTTTTTTTTTGAAATTTCAATTTTCATCTATGCGACTCCATTTTTAGTCCTTCAGGTCTTCTAAAGATACGCCTTTCAAGTCGTCTCAACGAAGCTTCATAGGTAATCTCAAGA